TAATAAAATATTATAAAGCGAGGGTTATTTTCTTCAATTTTAATAGGTGAGGGGATAAAAGTGTCATAGTATAAGATAAAGGGTTAAAACCTACAAATCTAGTAAAATGATGAACTAAAAATGTTATAATATAAGGTGAGTAACTAAAATTTTCAAATTTAATAAGGTGAAGGACTAAAATAGGCTTTTGCCGAAAAATGAACGAAGTAAATATATTTACTCTGTTTTAGGTAAATGAGATCTTTAAAGCTCTTTCTGCTCTTACTCTTCTCTGCTTTTCACATCAATCTCACCATTTTTATGAGTTAACTCTAAGAGTGAGTGGTAGTTGGTATCTGACCACTAATTTCTACTTACCAAAGATTAGTGATCTTTTTCTAATGTTGAATGATTTGATTACAAAAAATGGTGTGGAAGTGGAACTTAAAAGGATGGCTCAAGGGATGAAAAAAAAAAATTGACAAGTATTGGGGAGACCCATACAAAATGAATCTGAGCATTTTCTTTGCCTTGGTGTTAGATCCAAGGTATAAGCTAGATGTGGTTCAATACATCTTGACAACCATGTATAAGCCAGAAATAAGTGTGAAATTTGGGTTGTTTGTTAAGTTTGAGATGCAAAGACTTTATGAATATTATAGAAGATCAATTCAGCCAGGCCAAGGATCTTCTTCTGCTGGGGTTGAGAGCCTAATTAAAACTTGCACTTCAATAATAACAAGTTCTTCAAAGTCTTTTGTTTCTAGTAATAGTTCTTAATTTTTTCTTTAGTTTAATTTTATACTTATAGGTATACTTATGTATTTACTTAATTATTTTAGGAGGTGCCTTTAGTAAAAGGACTCTTGCTGCTTATAAGATGCAAAAAGATATTGAAGCTGGGATTAGATATGAAAAGAATAATTTAGATAAGTACCTCAAGGAAGATCAAGAGGGAGATTTAGAGGATTTTGATTTGCTCTCATGGTGGAAGGTATAACAAAAATATATATATATTAACATGATATGCTTATGCTTAGAGTGCTTCTTCTTTTTTTTTCTTTTTTTTTTTTTTTTAGTTTTCTTAAGTTGATTATTATTGCTTTTTAGAATAATTCTTGTAGGTTCCCTATTCTCTCCACAATGGCTAAAGACATTTTAGCTATTCCAATTTCTATAGTTGTCTAACTTTAGGAGTTCTTTATCTCCTAAAACAGTTAAGGCTTTACTCTATACCCAAGATTGGTTAAGGCCTAGGGGGAGACCTATTGTTATTGATGAAGAAGAAATTGACAATATTGAGGCAATTGAGAAAGGTAACAGCATATCTAACTTCTTTTATGAATCCTAATATTGTTTTTTCTTTTCTTGTCTTTATAGCTTATACCTTGACTTTATGTTTAACTTGGTTATGACTTATGAATTTGACTTGTGTATTTTTACTTTGTCAAATTCTGATGGGAGCTCTTCAAATTCTGTTGTTCTTGATGACTGATCTAATATGGCTCTGCAGATGTTTTTTTTGTTAATATGTATTACGTCTCAAACACAAACAGTACATAGTGTTTGATGATTCTTATAGTCTTTGCACAACACTCACTAGCACTAACTATACTTAGCTCAGCTAAGGCACTTCACAATGGGAACTTAGGAAGCTGTGAAGAATCAGTGGATTCATTGCAGGCCAAGTTTTTGTGTTTTTGTTGATGAACTTGGTCTTCTTCTCTTAGACTGGTAGTTGGTAAATATGTCTAGTGTCTATTGATTTGAATGTTGGCTTATTGGTTGTAGTCATAGGCCAATTGTTTGCTTTTTGTTTTCGTAAACTTGGTCTACTTGCATAATATGATTAGTCTTATAATCTTATGAAATCATTTATGCATGCATGTTGCTTTTATATTCTTCAAATTTGGAAATGCGAAATAAATGCTTATCTATGAGAATGGTTATCTATGAGACTAGGAGTTTATTGTTTTATAATAGAGTTAATTAATTGCTTTGCTTGGTTCATTAATTGTGCATCATAAATTTGTAAATATTAAAGATAGCAATACAAAAAAAAAAATGATAATCTTGAGATTTTAAGATTGAATTTTGAATGACTTGAATTAATTGATAATAGAGAAAATAAGTTTAAAGATGGTAATATAGGATGATATTGGTGAGGCAAGTTTCATTACCATTAAAAACAGTTGGCAACCATTACCAAAAAATCATCAATTGGTATGAAAATGGTAAATTTTTTTCATTACCACTTAAAACGGTTACCATCATTTGAGAGTGGTATGGTAACTGTACATACCATGCCCAGCCCTACATGTGAGGTTGTGTCTCTTTACCACTGCCGAAAAAGATCCCTAGCATGTCAACAAATATTTTAAAAAAACTCTTTGTATAAAAAATTTATTTTTAAAAACCTATTCCAGTGAGAGAATTTGTGTTTTGGCAGACCTTCTGATATATCATAGTTTAAGATTTGAATTTAAAATTAAGAATTTGTTTGATATACTAATTTAAAGATAATGATTAATAATTTTATTTAAATTGTTAAAAAAAATGTATTTGATAAATGTTTATTAATAAATTTTTAAAAAAATTATAGAAAAAGTCATAAAATTACATAATTTTAATAAATTTTTATCAAAAAAATTAAAAATAATTTATTTTTAAATTAAAATGAATTTGTTTTGATCTCCTTCTGTGGTGCTTTAATGATAAATATCTTTTTAATTTTTGTAAGATTAAGTTAATAAACACTAATTTCATGATCATTATTTATATATATAATATATAATAAGAGTAAATCATAGGCTTTCATTAAATTAAAAGATAAAAAGTTAGAGATCTCAAAGGAAAGAATTGGAACCGCAAACCTAATTCTAGAGTGAGAGGGAGTGATTTATCCTTTTATCGTTTAGACACGTGTGATATTTTGTATTGCCGTTAGTGAATAAAATGTAAAATATTCAAAAAATTTCTGTTCCCTTGATAGATACAGCCTACCAGATTTTGTTCCTCCATATTGAGAGATGGACTTGCACGTTTGTCCCACAAGAATGCAATTGCAACTATTCATTTCCTCTTTTCCAATTAGGAAATGGGATCTTCAAGACTCATTCTGTTCTTATTTTCCTTTGCTTTCCTCATAAATCACTGTTCCGCTACCGCTTCTGATTTCCGAAGTAGTTGTGCTAGCAATGGCAACTTCACCGCTAACAGTACCTACGAAGCCAACCTCAACCGTCTCTTCTCCAATCTGTCCTCCAACCAGGATTTCAATTATGGGTTCCATTATATGTCTATGGGCCAGAGTCCTGATAAGATCAACGCAATCGGACTCTGCACAGGAGACCAAAATGAAGACGTTTGCAGAAGTTGCCTGAACGAAACAATCTGCGAACTCCAACAGAGCTGTCCTAACTAGAAAGAAGCAATCGGGTGGTCGGAATTCTGTACATTACGCTACTCAAACAGAGAAATCTTCGGACTCATGGAAATCGATCCGTTCGATAAACTATATGCTGGTGACGCATCGAATGTTGATGCTTTTAACCAGTCCTTGAGCTTCTTGTTCAATAATTTAAGCAACCGTGCGGCTGCCGGAGGCCCTCTTCTAAAGTATGCTGCGGGTATTACAGAGGGTCCTTCCTCTCAAAGAATTTACGCCCTAGTTCAGTATACTCCGGATCTGTCCCAACAAGATTGCAGTGATTGTCTGGCGACTGACATCGAAAGGATGAAAACTTATTGCTATGGGAAAACTGGATGCAGAATTCCGCAGCCCAGCAGTAACTTAAGATACGAGATTAACCCATTTTTTGAAGCTGGACATGGAATTACTCAACCGTCTTCACCTCCTCCTACAGAAGGTAGCTATTTACAAATTTTTTATTGATCAGGTTTTTAAGTTGGAAGGAATCTCATTTCAGACCTGACCTGATGAGCTGATTCTAAAATTGCTTCCTTTCCTGAGAGGACCTTAAACAATTCTCAATGGAGTTTAAGGTGGATGCTGTTGAGGGTGGTGCTTCATAAAAAATTAATTGAACCTCTCAATGCTTTTTTTTTTTTCTTTGTATTTTCTTATTTCTATGTTCCCAATTTTTTGAAAGAAGAAGAAATCTCATTCGTCTTTCAGTTTTGGTTGTAGTTTGTGTAGATTATAAAATTGAAGCAGTGATTGGGTCCAAACTATTAGGTTTTGCAGGGAATGGAAAGAACACAACTCCAACAACTGTCATGTCCGTGGTTGGTTCAATTGTAGGCGTTCTGCTAATTTTCCTCTGTATTTGGATCATTTTAAGATGTAGGAAGTCAAAGGAAAGTCTTGAAAGTAAGTAACATGTTTGAAATACAGTCCTGCTGGGAGAATGCGGTTAATATTACTCTCATTTATTACTTTTGGCAGCTGTAGATGAAATGATTGAGGCTGAGTCTCAGCAATATGACTTTGCCACTGTCCGAGCAGCAACTAATAACTTCAATGACGAAAATAAGCTTGGACAAGGAGGATTCGGAGCAGTTTACAGGGTAACGAATGTCAAGAATCAGAAAAGAACACATATTATGTTGGAAGGTAGTAAAACTTTGTATTCTTTGAACTTATATTTAGTGCCATTGTTTTATATACAGGGACGGCTTCCAAATGAACAAGATGTAGCTGTAAAAAGACTCTCTAGTAATTCTGGACAAGGAGACATAGAATTTAAGAATGAAGTTCTCTTAGTGGCCAAGCTTCAACACCGAAATTTGGTTAGGCTCCTTGGTTTTTGCTTGGAAGGAAAAGAAAGACTTCTCATCTATGAATTTGTGCCTAATGCTAGCCTTGATCATTTTGTATTTGGTATGTCCGTTTTCCATTTTTCTCTGAATTTATATTCTAATTCTGTTGGTAAATAATTTTATTTGAATCTCCAAGTTTTGAAGGAGTTAGCTTTAGGTCTTGGTGCTGTTGTCTTTGTTTTGTTTTAGTTACATACTCACACAAACTATGACTATATAGATCCAACCAAGCGAGCACAATTGGATTGGGAAAGGCGTTATAAAATCATTGTAGGCATTGCTCGTGGCCTTCTTTACCTTCATGAGGACTCTCATTTTCGAATTATTCATCGTGATCTCAAAGCAAGGAATATTTTGTTAGATGAAAATATGAATGCTAAAATTGCAGATTTTGGCATGGCAAGGTTATTTGTAAGGGATGAAACACAAGGCCAAACTAGTAGAATTGTGGGAACTTAGTAAGTATGAAAAATAATAGAACTCTGAATTGCTTCTTATACACAAATATCCATGTAGCTCTATTTCTAGCTAATTGACAACATGAAAGTATCAAGATACAAGAATGGTTTTCTATGTATTGCATTAGGAAAATAGTAGAACATGACTTTGAACCCTCATTTTTTATATTGACAATGGTCTTACTAACAGTTGTATGCAGTGGATACATGGCTCCAGAATATGCAATTCATGGACATTTCTCAGCAAAATCAGATGTTTTTAGTTTTGGTGTATTAATTTTAGAACTTGTTAGTGGTCACAGAAATAATTGTTTTCAAGATGGAGAGAATGGAGAAGATCTAATAAGCTATGTAAGTATGAAAACATGAACTTCTATATATTTCTCTTGAGACGAATCTTAATTAATTGACTGGATCTCATTTTATAACTTTTTGCCGGCATGGAAAAATTGGAGGGAAGGGACAGGATCAAATCTCATAGATCCAACTTTGCGGAATAGTTCAAGAACTCATCAAATGATGATGTGCATCCATATTGGATTGCTCTGCGTTCAAGAAAATGTTGGTAATAGACCAACCATGGCTTCAGTTGTTCACATGCTTAATGACAACTCAACCACTCTTCCAGTGCCCTCACAACCTGCATTTCTGTTGCACAGCACCACTGCATCGGACACATCATCCTCACAGACATCAAAGGAGAAATCACTCCCCTTGGCAAAAAATGATGTTTCACTCACAGAGCAATATCCTCGATAGTTTTTGAGAATTAAAGTAGAATTACAACTTAAAAGTACTAGCATAATACTTGTATTGTTACCTCGTTTAAGATAATGTTTGGGTTTGCCTATTAGGTGTATGTGTAAATGATACTGTTACTGTTCTCTTTTTTGTACTGATCGATGTAAACAATATGTTTTCATTTTCTTCCACTCTCTCTTTCACATATACACATGATACATCTAATTTCTTTCACCATCACTGTCCCCTGCCAAGGCAGTTTCATGTCTAGATTGGTGGGATTCTATTGCCCATAAGTTGAAGTCATGTCTAGATTGGTGTTGTGCATGAATGCAAAATGTAAGGGTGCTGGAAGAGTCACTAAATTGCTTGTAAGCATTTGATCAACTGAAGCCATGGTTGGTCTCTGTGCTACATTTTCTTGCACATAAAGTAGTGCGACGCTGATGCGTCTCATAATTTCAGCTCTTGAACCCTCGCTCAAGTTGGGATCAATAATGTTATGCGGTGTCCCTTTTCTCCAATTTTTCTAAGTCTACGCAAAAAAGAACATGATAAGAAAATTAGTATAATTTCTTAAAAATTTAGAATTTGATATTGATTTGAATCCCTTGCTATCATAGCTAATAAGGTCTTGGTCTGGGTCTGCCACATTGTCCCCATGATGGAAATAATTATTCTTTTGATGACTTACAATCTCCAAAACTAAAAACATTAGTCTTTAGTGAGATTTGTCCATGCAATGCATATTCAAAAGCCATATATCCACTACAATTCAAGATCCATAAGGTAAAAGATTTGACTAAATATTTGCATAGCATTAACCATGGTGAAGTTGGCATAAGCATGTAGGGAATTCTAAATCTACTACGTTCCTACAATTGTACTTGTAGCAATTTGAATTTGATCCACCCCAAACAATCTTGCCACGCCAACATTTGAAAATTTTAAATTTATCTCTGTACCTAATAAAACATTACTAGTTTTAAGATCATGATGAACAATTTGGAATCTAGAGCCTTCATTAAAATAAAAAATTCCTCCAATAATATCTCCTATAATTTTATATCACGTTTCTCAATCTAGTTGAGTGCATTTCATAGGATCTTTAAAATAGTCAAATATATATATCTTAATCTTAATATATGAAAGAAACATTAGAGTATTTTAGACTTGCGCTTAGCATAATTGCCTATAGAATCTGAGATGCGGTGAGACACACCACGAAAGAAGTTATCAAGGCTGGAATTTTGGACAAACTCATAAATAAGAAACCTTTCCTTTCCTTCAAAGCAAAAACCATAGAGCCTAACTAAATTCCTATATGTTTGTTGCCTAGCCACCAACTGGACCTCATTTTTGAGTTCTTGATCTCCTTGACCAAAATTTGTAGATAGTCTCTTGACAGCTATTTTTTGCCCATTGCCAAGTCTACCCTGAGAATAGATTTAAATTTAAGCCACCCTATTTTATTTCACATTACAATTGATAGCCAATTATTTATTTACCTTATAAACTGCACCAAATCCACATTGTCCAAACTTGTTTGCATCAGAAAAGTTACTTGTCGCAGCTCTAATGGTGCTAAAATCATATTGCAATGCATCTGCACTTTGGATTTCATCTGCTGCATCACAGGTGGAAAACGGACAAGGAATAAGTACTATATTCATTTAATTACACTAAAAACTTTCAAAATCAAAAGAATTCCAAACCCAATGGAAGAATCTATGTATAACAACTTAGACTTACTTTCAACTTTCTTCTTTGAGTCCCTCACCCTCAAAAAGATGAAGATGCAGATGAGGAAGATAAGTATCAAGGAGCCAATGGTCGAAACCACTATAATGATGATATTCCGAGATGAATTCTGATCTTGTCCTGCAGCAAAATCAAGACGGTGCTTTCATCAAATTCTAATTGAATTCTGAATTGTCTCATAATTAGAGTTGACTCTGCCTTCCGCGGTACAAGTGTAGTACTGTTTGAGGGTGGCGACAGTATCGTTGCTGGTGGCGGCTGTAGCGATGACGGTCCATCAGCAGAAGCGTTATAGAAAGAATAGGTCTCAAACCTTAAATTACAGCTTGTTCCAGCTACTCTGCCTCCCTGCTTTCTGTTACAACATGCTGGAATTTGTGTAAAAGACTGAGACAAGCAGTGGCTGCACAGCTGCTGGGACAAATAAGGAATGCACTGTACAAGTGCATAAATCGTGTAGGAAGGCGGAGCCGTGGCTGTCCTCTTTGCAAACTTGCGAAGCGAACTACCCGATGCTGCTCTATTTGTCAGGTTATACGGCAGAGTATCTAGGGCAGAATTGAAAGCACTGACGTTCAAGACGTTATTCTTGTCTGACATATTGAAATTAGGATGAAAAGACTCGGCCTTGATGGCAGCATTTGAGTATCTAAACATGCAGTCGTCGTACCATAGAACTGCTTCCTTCTGGTTGGGACATCTGTTTCTTAGCTCAGCGGTAGCATTGCTGATGCAGCTAAGGCAAACATCAGGCTTCTTATGATATTGATATATGCTGACATGCTAATAAATGCACTATAAAAATGCATACTGCAACTCCCTGCAAGAACAAGTCTTCACTCAGTTGTCTACTGCCTCAGTACGCCATCTCTGCTGCAATGCACAATTATCTACAACTTCATTAATGTAGCTAGTACAAGCTGCCATTTCATCAAATAGTTCCACACAAAAGCCGGTTTCTTCCGGTTCCTTGTTTTGTATACATATACATATGCCTTTACAGCGATGTAATACAAGTTGAAGAAATGAATCAACTTTTTTAATTCTGCTTTAAATTTAACAAGGCTGAACATCTTCTCCACAGGGCACAATTGAGTTAACTTGGTCTGAATTTTCGCCGATAGAAACATTGTAGAACCCATAATTGTTTTCTGAGTTACTGTTGAAGGAGGAGAGGAGACGACTGAGATTGGGCTGGTAAGTGCTGTTTGCGGTGAAGTTGCCATTGCCATTTGAACAAACGTGAAATAGGGGATTTTCCTGTGCTACAGAGAGGGCAAGAAAGTGGGCAAGAAGCAGAGGAACAAAGAAAAACTTCACTGAATAACCCATTGCCCATAGCCCTGCGAAGACTAAGATTGAACTATTGTATGAACTTTCGATTTGTGTTCTCCCAAGGTTTGGAAATAAATTTAATAGGGAAAAACCAGTGGAGCTTTCTCCTATGTGTCACTGTGATTTATTAACTTGCTGCAAGGAAAATTCAAAGTCTAAAGAGGAGTGTGGGATGAGTAAAAATTAATGTGTTAGGCAAGTTACACCCACCACTCCAATTACCTTGATATTTTAATTTAGTTCTGTTATTTTTTTAATTTAGGTAAGATATTAAAAGTTATTATTTAATTTTATTTCTTTTACTTTAGTTTATTTATCAAAATAATAAAAATTTGTATCAAAGATAAAGATGTTATTTTAATACTTAATTGTAAAAATCAATCACCAAATTATTTTTATATGTGTAAAATTAAAAGGTTAAACGATTAAAATGAAATGGAAAGATGAAGTAATTACCTTATTAAATATCAATTGTCACTTTGTCAAGCAAATAAGAATCGAAAATTTTATGTATTGTAGGATGATTTCACAACTAAGTAA